TTAAGGCTTCGACAACTGAGGTCATTAGCCTGGAGGAACTGTAGGGGAAGGTACTGTAGGTTTTAAACACGTGGGTATTTTGGCAGAATTTTGAATGGGCACCCGTAGGTTTCTGCCATGCCCGGTTGGGGGGCGGCGGGCTTATAGATATTTACTTTCATTTAAGTACACACTTAAAAATATTTGGTTTAATACAAATATTTAGTCAATATTATACCTATTTGTCTTGAATCCGCATTGGTTGCAACCGAACATGTCCAAGTCTATATTATGAGTTTTCCATAAGTGTGTCATCATAGATAACCACTTAAAGTCGGTAAATTGGCATTCGAATTCTATGCATTTAAATTTGTTGTGTAAATGACATTTTGTATGATACATTAAGTTTTCTTCTGTGCTAAATCTAACTTGACATTTTCCAATCGTGCACCTAAAATATTTGAATATATTTTATTTACATTTATCATTTATGCATACTAACACAATAATACCAAGGACCTAGCAATGCTTTATACAATATTAACAGTTACAACTCACAAATGAGCAAATTTTTTAGAATAATTTAACAATAGAATATAAATTATATTGCAAATATTGCACAATTATTATGATACAAAATATGTTTCTAGTAAATAACAACCATCATGCCTTCATGCTTAGCAATAATTTTAAGTCACTATTAAAAATAGAGCTTTATTATAAGTTAGGTACATTGGTTGTACTGGTTGTAGGTACAAACTATCACATAAAATATTAATGAATCCATACAATCATAAATAAATCCAAGCAAACGCATTATTCGCATAATAAAAATTATACATTATCATATCATTTTGGAAATCTAGATAATATGCTTTATCAGAAGAAAAACCAACATTTTGCTAGACGGAGTAATATAATAATATAATAAAAAAATAATTTTGAATAATAAGCACCGTTTCATATTATGATTAAATTAGTTAAAACCATACAGCAATAATAAACGGTATGAACAATAGAGTACCTTTATTGACATACACGCTAGTATGCTACATGGTTTTTTAAATATTATTCCCTATAAATCTATACTGCAGGGTGTCCCGCGAAGATTTACCAATTACCTACGATATTTCACGAAATAAAGGAGATATCATAATTCTGGTTTTGTAATAAGACTCACAGAGATAAGATCTACAATTATTTATTTAATTATTTCCAAAAAAAATAAAGATAGCCATTTTGTAGATTTTTGTAAAAATATTGACGTTTCATAATGTTACTTTCATTAATTTCTTGATTATTAATATTTTTCTAGTTTTGAAGAAATAAAAACTGAAAACGTTCGGCCGGCCATGCGAGCAAGCGCGCGGCGGGGGAAATGTTAGAATTTTTTTTTTACGCTATTATAGTATTAAATAATTCGCAATTTTTCCTCGAAACTAAAAAAAAAAATCAGGCAATTAATGAAAATACAATTTCAAAACGTCAATATTTTCAGAAAAATAAACTCTACAAAACGGTTATAGTCAATTTTTTTGGAAATAATTAAATAAATAAAAAAAATATTAAATTTTTTTTAACTTTTTTAACTTTTCTAACAAAACATTAAATTAAATTAAGATATGAAATAAATGTAGTTCTTTAGTTCTTATCCCTGTGAGTTTTATTATAAAACCAAAATTTTTATATCTCCATTATTTCGTGGGATATCGCAATAATGGGTAAATTCTCGCGAAACACTCTGTATATTAGGTACTGAATCAGTTATTAAGAGGCTCAATAAATTGTTTATATAACACTTAGCGATAGAAAAAATGTTTGTATCATTACCTGATATTATATAGCTAGTAGTAGTTAGTTTTTATAAAATTTAAATTATAACTTCATTATAGTTACATTATATATAATTTAAACATGCATTTAATTTAAAGATAATTTGTTTTGAAGAGGTCCTTAATTAGGTAATTAACTAGACTAATATAGATAGTATATAACATATAATATACTAGTATTATAAATGTGAAAGTTCCCCATTTTTTTCTTTAAATAATAACAATATAGGTTAATTAATATAGTTTAAAATATCCTAGACTGATAAAACGTCTCTACTCAGAATCGTTTTTCGTATACAATGATTTTATATCATTAAATTCAAATTTAATACCATCCATTATACAATAACCCACTTGTAACCTACTGTACAGCAGGGCAACAAATTCCACTTACTCGCTTTTTTCAGACTGTATACTAAATAATTACATTGCAGAAGATGGTATAAATTCCCACCTTCACTGTGGGCAAAAGAACCAACTGATGAACCTCGTACTACTAATGGGGCTGAATCATTTAACAGTAATTATAACGAAAAATGGGAAGGAAAATGTACCATATTATAAGTTCGCTCCGACGATGTACTAGATAAATAAGAGGTCCAAGTAAATTTGGCCCAAATGATATGTATAAATTAGCCCAAACGATACGTAATTTTGGGTCATTAGTTCAAATGAAAGACGCCCCATATTCCGAATTATAAAAGGGAACTGTATAACTTCTAAGTAATTTAATCACAATTTCTTCAATCTAACTTAATTTGAAACATTTTCAGTATTGACATTAACCCCAACGCGGCAAAAGTTATGATTCACTAACCTTAAACGTTTTTCTATGATATTTGTATCTTCAATGGTGTTATTTTCTTGAAGTCCGTTGAATATTTGCTCTTGGTACTCCCAATAATCATCACAAACATCATTCGGATGATAATTTTCAGCAGAATTATTTTCTTCTGAAAAATCATAAAACACATTATTACCTAAACATTATAAAATGTAAATCGTTGATTTTTTTTGGTACAAATTAGAAATATTAAACATTAATATCTTTACCCAAGTACCTATATACAATACATACAACTTTTTTTTTWAATTCTGAACGGAGTGATGAATGTATTGATTTTACAATAATTTGTGTTTTTTTTTTGTGTGTCTGTATACAGCATAACTAGTCGAATAATGCTTCAATTTCAAACTTTGGGGGTGGTTTACGATGGAAAAGTGAATGTCCTTGGTGCATTATAGAGGTCAAAAGTAAACATTTTCCAACAGTTTTCAAAAAAATCGAGAAAAACAAAAAAAAAGACAGAAAAACGGGAATTTTTACGCAAAACCAGTTTTCCACCAAATCGATTTTTTTATATGGTTGTAATTCAAAAACTAATCACTGTAAATACATGAAATGTTCACCAAATGTTTATGTTAGTGTTATCTACATACAGTTTAATTTTGACTTTTTTTGAGTTATTTATAGACCACTGAAATTTTCGATTTTTATGAGAATCTTTTTGAAGTGTCGGTAAAGTTTTTTTGGATGACCAAAAAACCTTGAAAATTTAATACAAGGTTTATGAGTTGTTCTTATTAAAGTTAAAAATAAATAAAAATCGTTAGTCACAATTTTTTTTATATGCGTTTATTCAAATTTTTATGAAATCTGAAAATTTGCAAGTAATTATGAAGTTGAAAAATCTTGTGTTTATAACTAAGGATTAAAAACACAACACTAAGTTTTCCTTCAAGTAGCTATAGAGAAAATTCGAAGCATCATTATAGGACAAATTTTAAGTGCGTTTGAATTTTAATTTTTTATGAAATCGCGTAACGATAACGATTTATCCTCAAACGAGTCAAACAAATCATCTCCGTTCAGAATCGTTTTTCATATACAATGATACCTATCATTGAATTAAAATTTAATCCCATCCATTACAGTAACCTACTTTACAGCAGAGCGACATCCACGACTTACCAGCTTTTTTTATATTTGATTTGTAAACTGTTTGAATATTTTTTCTTTGTTTAGTATCTGCATGTTATTGCAATTTATTATTATAGTAAAATTTGAATAATTTTTATTTTTAATGGAAAAAAAAACTGTATAAATTTTTTTAATCAAATCTTTGGTCTAAATAGATCATAGACTGTCCTTAGTCTATTAATATAGGAAGGAAAATTATATTATTTAGTTGTAGTATTCACCAAAATAAATAAATTAAGGACCCAACTAGTGTTGTACTTGTGAAAATCCTGACCCCACTAGTGTTGATCCTGTAAAATTCTCGGACCTAACTATAGTATAGGCAGTATAGCGATGTTTAATTCAGATGCATCCCTTAACTATAATTAAAAATGTATTTGAATTAAATTATTATTAAAGGAAAACTAGGGTGCGTACATGCTTGGTGATTTGTCCTTTATATTTGTGACACGCGTATCTTAAGTATTACTATCAAATTATTATAATATGTATTCCTGTACTCGTAATTCATAATATTAAGAAACACATTTGTATACAAAAGAAGATTTTGTGCATTACTACACAGACATTACTGAGAACCATAAATGGGTGCTTCAATCATCAACTAAAATATATTTTTTGTAGCTAAGTTAATCAAGTAAGTTCTTCAGGCCTTATAAGGAAGTTAAAAGTAAAAAATGTCCAATAATTATCAAAATAATCGGAAAATCCGAAATATTTAAGCTAACAACATAGACTGTAGTCGACAAAATCGATTGTGTTCGTTTGTGTTATTATAAAAATTAATAATTTAAAATTTAAATATTCATCATCATTTAAATAAAAAAATTTAAGACATGATGCAATTTTCAAAATCTTTTGATTAATTTTAAATTAGTTATACTAATAACAATTAGCAGATTGATTTTAGTTCAATTTTAATATGTATACGAAGACGAACACTATATGTACTATATAGTATAATATATGGAAATTGGAAAGCTTATAAACTGTAAAGCCTGCACGAAAGATAAAACAATCATTACACAATTAGGTACATACCTTTACTTGTAATTATTAGAGCATGCATGAGAATAATACAGCTTGATTCTACTTTATCGTGAAACTGCAAGAATTATCATGGAAAAAATATTGAATTTTTTTTAAACGTCTATAGAACTACTAAACATAATTTAAAATATATACAATAAACATACATTTTACATAATTGAACTATTTGTTCTTAATGTTAAATAAAAATTAAATACTTCTTATATTTTCTAATCTATTGCCAGGTTAACAATAAAAGGGTCACTATTATATTCACTCTGTATAATTTGTATAATAATAGCGTTCACTGCAATGCGTGTGAACCGGAAGTATTCGATACAAACAATTTATTATTTTCGTTACAATATTATTAATTACAATTAATTAGATAGTAATTTATCCTATAAATTGAAAAGAAATTAAAATCTGCAATATACAATATACCATTTTTAAATATTGGTGAATAGTAATGGTAAACAACTCTATTGAACTTGTAGTATTGACTATCATGTTAAGCTATTAAAAAAAAACTAGTATGCAGCGGGAATGGATAACGCCCTTCTATATATATATATATATATATATTAGGTGTACAGAGAATCACTGTAATGGATGAATTAAATTTGAATTAATTTATATAATATTAATGTAAATGAAAAATGATTCTGAGTAAAGACGGTTTATCAACCTATAATATTTTATGATATTATTGTGATTAAAGTAATTTATTTTACTATTATTACACATTAGTACCATTATAGGTTAGGTTACATTTTTTACCGACAATATTGAATTTGAAAATTATAATATTGTGTGTATAAAATATAATCAATAATAATAAATTCTAAAAGTTTCAAGAACCTACAATGACAATTAATATTTTTAAATTACAAAAATAACTAAAATCGTTAATCTTGACTTAATACCTAGTATATAATTTTAACCAAATTTGAATTTAAAATGTCTGAAAGATAGAAATGTGTTTATTTAGATTTTTAAATTTTTAGTTACAATATATAAATTGTTTTTGAGACTCCTTGTTTTAAATTTTCATTTCTTAGTTATAAAATTTGAATATTTTATAAATATTTAACTACCTACATTAAATAATTAGTAAATTTTGAATTGTATTAAATTAAAATTTAAACATTAAACGCTTATAAAAAAACATGTGACTAATGACTATATACTTATTATTTTTCAACTAGTATTATTAGAATATATCAGAAGTCTTGTATTACATTTTCAAGCATTTTTACCAAACGAACAAAATTTAATTGACATTTATAGAAAAAAAATGTTACTCTGCTGTATAGTAGGTTAGAAGTGGGTAACTGTTTTGGATTGTATTACATTTTGAATTCAATGATATATTATCATTTATCAATGTATATGAAAACGATTCTGAGCGGAGACTGTCAGTTTAGAATATTTTATGCTGTATTAATAATTATACTGTTATTATTAAAAAAAAAAAAAGAAGTAGGTATCTATAAAATAAATTAAAATTAATCAAATCAGATTCATTATGTACCCGACTCATCACACAGTATTCATGGTATAAACAATATTCTATAAAGTATTAATATAAGTCATTAACGACATTATAACCATGAAATTAGAATATAAAGTATAGGTACTCTGGAAATTTCAAGTACCCATGAGGCCATGAATAACATTTTTAAATTACAACAATATAGTTTTACATTTTTTTGACGCAGAATTAACTACTTACATGGAACTTTGTTTTAAATGTTCAATCCTTAACTATAAAATTTAAACGTTTTATAAATTTTTAACAACTAAAGAATTTGTAAATTTTCAATTAAAAAATTAGAATTTCTAACTCAAAATAAATTGCAAATTTTAGTGATTTTACGTATTTCGTCAAAATTCTAACTTTTAATTCTTATTAAAAAAAATATGTGACTGTATTTTTAATAATTTTTAACTACCATTGTAACAATATTAGTAGCCTTGACGCCTTGTATTGCCTACGTTTTGAAGTTTTTTTTACCAAACGAACAAAATTTTATTGTCATTTGTAAAAAAAAAAACTAAAAAATATTGAAAATTTCAAATATTTATAAATAACTAAAAAAAGATTTAAAAGATTTTGAAATTTTTATCAAGTTTAAACATACAGTGAAAATGTTATGTACCTACAGTAATTTATTTTAGAGTTACACAAATATCTAAAATCGATATTTTTCAAAAATTGATTTTACGTAAATATCCCGATTTTCCTTATTTTTTTTTTTTTTTTGTTTTTCCTGGTGCTTTTCAAAACTAGTAGAACTTTAAAAAATTTTTCTTGACTAGAATCAATTTCCAACCAGGAAATCTACTGAATTGTAAATCGAAGCATTATTTCGACAACTTATCGTGTACACATACAAAATAATAAATAAATAAATAAAAACACATCATTRTAAGATGCAACATATTTATCGCTTCGTTCAGAATCTAAAAATAGAGGGCCCGGAGGAAAATTGTATTCTTCTAAGCCTTTTACATGCCAGTACAACACTGGTATTGTTATTATACCTTATAAGTTATAGGTATACATCTAAAATATGAGTAATTCCTTAAGCAATTAACAATTAATGCTATGCATAAATAATAGGATTCCATCATAGGCGTGCGCAGACTTTGACCGCAGGGGGGCCCCTTAAAAAGGTCCGAACTAAAGATTCTTGTGTGATGATAATTGATTAATTAATAAAATAATAACTTAATCACATTTATATTTTATTTATACTATTAGATTAAAACTGGCTTCACTTTTTTTTWGTAAAATCTAAAAATTTCGCTGTCTAGTATAATATACATATCTATGCATTTATTAAAGAAAAAGCCAGAGGCCGCAGAGGGGGCCGCGGCCCACCCGGCCCCCCCTGTGCGCACGCCTATGGATTCCATCCTTCACCAAAAACAACAGTGAAATTGGGTAACTGGAGGGTGGGAGGATATCAAAAGTCCGTCCCAGTAGAATCATAAATAAACACCTGTTGTGGGGATATGGTTATTGATTGTATGCAGTTCAGACGACAATAACTGATCATTTTCAGTATATACTCAACTGTTCTACACGACTACACTACGTTACGTATAGTGCGTACACGATATCGCAAATACGAATTGGACACAAMGACCATTTTCAGCTTTCTCATAATAAATTGTAAAATTTTCCAAGCAGTTTGTTTTTGGTAACGAAGCACATAAAAACTTTCCAAGTATTACTTGGTGTACACTGTTACAACAATTAATAATTTATCGACATGTAAATACGTTATCTTCAAGGATGTATCAAATAGTATAATAGTATTAGTATATCATAATATTATTTCTGATTTTGTACACTGGACAGACGTTGGCGATAAACCAAATACAATTGAACCAAAACGACAAGAGCTGCAGAGAAAGGTGAAACAATAATCTATTTTTAAATCAGTTCAGCACATCTCTGTCTCTCCGAGAACACGGTTATCAACTTACAGTGTCGTGTCGGTACGGTGATCTATATTTCAGAGACAGGACACAGGAAGAAGCACAGTGAACGAGTTAAGTAGTTAACCATATTTATCCCAATCAGTAATCAACGCTCAATGATAATAATCCACATTATTTGTTATATTATGATACGTTAAAATTTAATACTTGATATGATTAGAATTATGGATGACCATAAACCTTGACCACGGATTAATATATATTAATCCGTGACCTTGACTATAGTTGTATAACCTGTTAGACGTCAGTCATTACTTGTTGAGTATATAGATAACAGAAATAATCTCGGATTTATCGACGTAATTATTTAATAGCTTGAAAAATATATCCAAATATAAACAAAAAACTAACAGCTATACAATATAAACTCAGAAATTAACAACTAAAGAACAGACATTTTTTACTTTTTTCACAATGTTTTCAAATTGTGTGATTACTAGAAACATTCAGCATAGTTGTAAGTTGTTGATTGTTGGTGGAGGTTCTGGAGGATGTACAATGGCAGCTAAGCTTTCAAAATATGAACGTGATGTGATTTTACTAGAACCAAATCAGACACACTACTATCAACCTATGTTCACGTTGATTGGTGGTGGTATGAAAACTATTTCCCAAGCCTCTACTTCAACAAAATCAGTGATTCCAAAAAATGTAAATTGGATTCAAGACAAAGTCAAAAGTTTTAATCCAACAGTAAATATTGTAACAACATCAAACGGAGATACAATTAATTATGATTATATGGTGGTGTCTATTGGATTACAATTAAATTATGATCAAATCATTGGCTTAAGAGAAGCCCTTGAAAAAAAAGATAGTGGAGTATGTACAAACTATTCATCTCAGTATGTAGAAAAAACTTATCAAGTTATGCAGAATTTCAATGGTGGAAATGCAATATTTACATTTCCTAATACACCGATTAAATGTGCTGGAGCTCCTCAAAAAATAATGTATATTACTGATGATTATTTAAGAAGAAAAGGTAAAAGAAACAAGGCGAATATTATATACAAAACATCCACACCTGCAATATTTGGAGTTAAAAAATATGCACAGAAGTTACAACAACTATGTAACGCGCGGAATATTTCTGTAGCCACAAGACAAAATTTAATAAAAATAGATTCAACCCAGAACAAAGCCACTTTTGAACATCTTGATATACCAAATAAAACAGAATCAATTGAATATTCTATGCTTCATGTTACTCCACCAATGGGTCCACCAGATGTTCTAATGAAATCCAGTCTCAGCAACAGTGCTGGATATTTAGATGTTGACCCTTATACATTACGTCACAATGTTTATGGAAACATATTTGGAATTGGAGATTGTACGAGTTGTCCAACATCAAAAACAGGAGCTGCAGTAGCAGCACAAAGTATTGTTGTTCTTAAAAACATGATAAATGTGATGAATGGTAAAGACATCAAAGAAAAATATGATGGATACACATCTTGTCCATTAGTCACTGGATATAGCAAATGCATTTTAGCAGAATTTGATTATGACCTTAAACCATTAGAAACATTTCCAATAAACCAAGGGAATGAATTGCGCAGTATGTTTTTTTTGAAGAAACATGTACTACCATTTATTTACTGGAATATAATGCTTAAAGGTTATTGGAACGGCCCTAAAATGTTAAGAAAAATTATGCATTTTGGTCTTGATTAAATTAAATAAAATATTATTAAAAAATAAAATTACTTCTTATGGGTATAATCAATAATCATCATTGTAGATATTAAGTAGTATTAAATTGTATCTATTTTGTTACCAAAATAATTATTGTTACTTAATAATACCAACCATTTTAAACATTACAATTAATATAGGTAACTAATACCTAATATTTATTTTTTCTCATATTATGCGAAGTGTATACTTTATAAATTTGTATTATTTGTAGTTAGTAATTTTATTGAGTAAATGAATGCCTTAATATTTTATACTAAATATTATATTTCAAACTTTTAGATTCTGGATATTATAATAATTGGATATCTAATCCAAAAACTAATTAATTCTTGTAAATTTTGAAAAAAATTGTCTTGGTAGGTTATATTATAGTACCATACATACTTAAGTACAGTGAGCATTGTTACAAATTTAATTTTTAAGTAATAAAATAAAAATGTTACCTGTGATTTGAGTGTCTAGAAAATTTGATTTATGACCAAACTCAGAAGTATCCGGTATTGTAACATTAAACTCTGTCAAATTATGGTTTTCAGTTTGAGGTGTTTCATCTATTAAATGTTAAACAATTTTAATTGTGACTTCAAAATTACTAATTTAAATTATGTAATATATTTACTATTGTTCTTGTATAMAATTTCTTCTTTATTAGCTTCAATTACAAGTTGAACTAATTCATCAACTTCATCAGATAAAACATCATGGTCTTCAATCAAATGGCACTAAAATTTAAAATCAATAAGCTAAACATATTTTAAATACTAATTTATTAGTTATATTCTAAATGTGAAATTAAATTAAATTTCATAATAAAATATTATGAAAAAATTAAAAATTATAAGCTAATAAAATAATTTGTGGCAAGATAAAAACACAACAATTTCTAATTTATATCTACATAGTTTTACGACAGATTTAAAAAAATGATATTTGTTAAGTATGTAACATACCAAACAAAAATCAGGTTTAGTAGTGACTTTTTTACTGATTTTTGAAATTATTATCTTCATTTAATCCTGTATTATTTTATATTTGTTTTACTAATTAATCAATAGTAATAAAATAACATAAATTTGACTATATTAAAAATTAATTATAAATGTGGTAAGTCACATACTAAACAAATACCAAAAAAAAAGTTAATTCATTTTGTGTGAATAAAAATTGAATTCAAGTTTTGTCTTAGGAATTTATTTCTTTTATAAAAGAATATGTTATAGTAACTGGGTATTCTAGTGTTTTTTCATAAGTCTTATCAAATTATTATATTATAAACTTAAGTTATAGACCGTGGAGTTAATTTATTTAAAATAATTTTAATATTGTTTTAATAAGATTTACATATTAAATTGTAACAAATAAATAGTGTATACTTACTCGAAGTACATTTAATGAATAAAATATATTATCACACCCAATACATTTTGTTCTTAGTAGAGATTTAAGTTGAGAACGATGGAAATGATTTTTTTCATTATGTTCCAAAATAATTTTGACATTCAAACAAAGAAATGGACATGAATCACAGTAATAAAATCCTGATCCATTTATAGTCTTAAAGCTAGAAGATACTGTTTTTTTTTCTTCTTTACACAATGTGTTTTGATTCTCTGAAAATTCGCGAAGGAATGTTGACATTTGACTATTACCCAAGTCTACTAGATCATCGCTGTTTGGATTTTGAATGATATCAAAATCAGTTGATAAATCAGAAAAATTGTTCATCAAATTTTGTTGAGGCTGAGCTATTTCTGTTGTTTTAGATATTAACTTCTCGTCAGGTACTACTCTTACACGTTGGGCAACTAACCGATTTTCATCCACAAGCCTCAAAGTTTGATTGGAAGGCTGTAGTTCGATTGATGACAACATATTTAAAATGTTTGTCAATAAAAAAAATGAATAATGTAAAGGTTAATATTTTTAGTAATTACAATAAGCTGAATTTAACATTTAAAGGTAGTTAAATAATAAATTCCATGTTATTTAAATACTAAAATCAAACATAAAAAAAAATTATTAGATCATTAGAAACAATATTTTTTCAATTAATATTTAGTAAGATAAGAGTAACACAATACGATTAAGATCAACATTATGTCAATTTATTTTTGACCAATAACACGAACTTCAATACTTTCGTACCATAGACTTTAAAGATCTTTAATATCTCTGTTCCGTACTATATAGTAAATTAATAAATACGAAATGGAAATCTATGCCTAAATAGTACTCTCGTAGTTCTAGTGTTTGTACTGTTTGTCTGTTTGTAGTGTTTGTACTCACTCACTACTCGACATACTCGTATTCGTATTTTTTATCTCTATTATTTTTATTTTTTATCACATATTTCGTAATCACGGACTACGAAGTTGAGTCCACGGTCTAATTCTAAGACCATGGTTGAGTCCATAGACCTATTATCATATTGATCGTAGTCCATAATTTCTTATCTATAGCCGACAGCCGTGATATTACTGATATTAGTCAAAATCAAAACCACAAATTTTAATATATTTCTATCGTTTCTCTTAAAAAACTCTTAAGTTGATTGCTGATGTATTGACTATTGATAATCATTGACCGGCCACTAGGTATTATGTGTATATATGTAAATAATTACTAAAATACTAATTAAAAAATTGTAATAAATTATACATACATTGATTGTGATAAAACTTAAAATGACCTTTACAATGTTAATGGCCAAAAATGTTCAAAAATGTTTCAAATATTTAATGGGCCCACATACAATTAGACAAATGTCATCAAAACTAGCTGAGGAAGACTTAAAAGTAACTGATGAGTGTGTAAAACGTCTTGAAGCTATTTGTGACAAAGATGAATTCCTCCGTTTAAGTGTTGAAAGTGGTGGCTGTTCTGGATATCAATACAAGTTTGAATTAGATACAGCTATTGCAAAAGATGATTGTGTATTAGAAAAGCAAGGTATTAAGATTGTTGTGGATACAACTTCCTTAAATTTTATCAAAGGATCGACTATTGACTACGAACAACAGTTAATCAGAGCTGCTTTTAGATTAATTAAGAATCCAAAAGCAGAAGATGGGTGTTCTTGTGGCGCATCATTTTCAATTAAAATTGACTGATTATAATTTAATTACTTTTGTATTTAGTGTAAATAATATTTAAATATTATATGTTATATTTTATTGTTGAATTTTGTTAAATGATTTTAATATTATAAGTATTGTATTTTTTAAATGTGTGCATCACCATTTTTACATTTGTGCTAATACTATTAATAATATATTATAATTAATAATTATGAATGGCTTTGTATTTAAGATATGAATATATCGTTCAACATATTAAACCTTTTAATAGTAAATATATTTTTTCAATAATTTAATAAATAATCCATCTCACTTACTTTAGATTTAATAGTATTTAATAATTGCATTTTTGTCAAATCAACTAAAAAAAATTCTAAAATGTACATCTAGGTACTAATCAAATACTATAGAATCAATGTTCATTGGTAGTATATAGTATTTAGTTACATCTCAAGTTGTTTTTTTTTTACGTATACCTAAAATGTAGCTTGTCAAGCTGGTATACAGTCATAATATAACTATGGTTTATATATCCAATAAAAAATATAAATAACTATGACTTAATTTAGTTATGAAAAATATTTTAAATCATTGTATCATTGATAATATGAAAACTTTCTAAAATTATTTATTTTTAGTTAAATATTTTATATTTTACTTAAAGATACATATCTACTATGAAATGTTATTTGATACTAGCTGATTCTTGTACACTTTGTTTCCTGCTAATAACACCAACTCTATGTCTATATGATTCAAAATTTGTTTTAATTCGTTGTTTAATGTCCCGGCATTACTAAGTTATGTTCAAAACCTCCCGTGGTTTACCCTAACTGGCCTAACTTAATMTCCATTAATGATTTTTAACATTCATATAAAATACAGTACTAAAATATATTCAATCATAAAAATTCCTCGTATATTTAGCTTTGTTTAGGTGAAACAATTTTTAAAATTGGAGCCGAATTCCCGAATAACAAATAGCTAATTTATTCATTTAAATTTTAGATTCTGAGCGGAGCGATGATTGTATTGATTTTACCATGATGTGTGTTTTTTTTTTTTGTGTCTGTCATCACGTTTGGGGCAGTAAAAGTGCTTCGATTTTTGACTTCAGTACCTCGTTCGATCAGAAAGTGAATCTAGTTGGTACTTCGGGGGGTCAAAAGTAAAAAATTCTTTCTAATACTTTTCTAAATAATTGAGAAAAACAAACTAAAAATTAAAGGAAAAACAGGAAATTTTACGCACACTCATTTTTCGGCAAAATTGATTTTGGTTTTTTATGAAATTTTAAAACAAATGACCATAGATACATGAAATTTTCACCGAATGTTTATATAAGTA